CCCCCTGCACTACCCTACGGCAGCCCCACCTCCCCTACAACCCTAGCCCATACCCTTGATACCTTAACCCTCAACCCCCCACCGCCTTGGTTCATGGACACCGGGGCCTCACACCACATCACCTCGGACCCAGGTACTTTATCTCATGAATTTCCTTCAAACATTAATTCTCCTTCTCATATCATTGTAGGTAATGGATCCAGCGTTGGCACTACGGCATATGGCAATGGTTCTATCCCCACTAACCCCCTTATCCCTCCGCAATGTTCTCGTTTCCCCTCATATTATCCATAATTTAATTTCCGTTCGTCAGTTTACTCGTGACAATAACTGCTCTGTTGAATTTGACTCATGTGGTTTCTCTGTGAAGGACAAATTAACGGGATCCGTGATTCAACGCTTCAATAGTAATGGTCATCTCTATCCTCTCATTCCAGCCTCTTCCCCAACACATCTCAACCTTGCCAAAGTTGATCTTCCTACCTGGCATCGTCCTCTTGGTCATCCCAGCCCAGCAGTTCTCAGTGGTCTTTCTAGTTTTTTAGATAGTTCAAATAAAACAAAGTTAGATTTTTTATGCCATGCATGTCAACTTGGCAAGCATGTGCGTCTTCCTTTTCAGTCGTCGAGTCGTGTGTCCTGTTTTCCGTTTCAATTAATGCATACTGATTTATGGCAGTCTCCTGTTCCTAATGTAACTAGTTTCAAATTTTACATGTTTTTAATTGATTATTTTTCTCATTACTTGTGGGTTTTTCCTCTCAAACATAAATCTGATGCATACTCACACTTAGTTAAATTTCATGCTTTTGTTAAAAATCAATTCAATACCACAATAAAATCAGTTCAATGTGATAATGGCACAGAATACAGAAACACTCCCTTGGCCACCTTCTTCGAATCCCTAGGCATTCTTTTTCGTTTCTCCTGCCCGTACACAAGTCAACAAAGCGGTCGTGCGGAGCGCATAATTCGCACATTAAATAACACTGTCCGCACTCTCTTATTTCAAGCCAATCTCCCCCCACAATTCTGGGTTGAAGCCCTACACATGGCTACGCGACTCTTCAATATTCTTCCCAGCACAACCCTACACAACCGAACCCCTCATGAGGTCCTCTTTGGAACTCCTGCCCCTTACCAACACCTCCGCGTCTTCGGTTGTCTATGTTACCCCAACCTTTCTGCCACTGCGCAACACAAGCTTTCCCCGCGCTCCACGCGTTGCATCTTTCTTGGTTATCCCGAATCCCAACGTGGCTATCGCTGTTTGGATTTATCCACCCAGAAAATTATTGTCTCGCGTCATGTTACGTTTGAC